CAATGCGCTAGATCTGCAATAACGAATCCATTTGCTTACTTCACGATTTGCAGGCGTGCATAGATGCCGGCGACACGGAAGATTGCAAGGAGTACAAGGCCGAAGGCAAATGTAAAGATCCATCTATGCAAGGCTACATGCAGGCATTCTGTGCTCAAACATGTCGTTTTTGCGGGTGGTAACACCGTTGGTCATCGGAAATAAACTTTACCATTTTGCAACAGTTCCGCTCTCGTCTTGCACCTTTTCCGTTTTTTCGGATCTTATTGTGCCTAGAAAATCGTCAAATCTTCTGGCCGGTCTACTTACTCTAACCGAAGAAAGTTACTGGATGAACATTGCGTGAAGTCTAAGATTTGCAAACAATATCCGTTGGTTGTGTTAACAAGGTCTCCTCACGTTGCTATGATAAAAAAAGGATAAAGGATAAAGCATTTGCCGTTGATCAATCCCTTTTTGGGATGCGGCACGCATTCTACTTCCATTTGTACATTCGCAGTGGCATGGCACCTGATGTGTGTTTTGTACTTATGAGACCTTGCCCACCCATCCCACACTTGACCCGGTCCCTCCAGGCGGATCCCGAGGAGCTAGGGAATTTCGTGACAGACATACAGAACGACAGACGACAGAACGACAGACGAAGCGCTTTATAGTAAGTAGGATAATTTAGTTGCTTTTCGATCGTTCTTTCTTTTAGTTCTATCATTATTGATCATTTCGTGCAGGGTTTTGGCCTGGTGTGAAATTATTTCTTTTGGATGTAGCTAGCTAGCTGGGATGTAGTCAACTAAGAGCAAGCCTTGAATTCGCATTGGACGTTGAAAATATGGGCGGAGTCATCTGAGAAACTGCCCCCCCCCTCGCCCTCCTTCGTTTGCTTGATTAGGGAATTACGAATGGTTAGAGCGCAGCTTCGAATGACTCCATTCGTAGTACGTTCAAGGTAGAATGTGCCTTCAATTAAAAATGAGCTGTAACTTTGAAACAAACCTCATGGTTAGTAACGTGTTTTTGAAGCGACGTCGTATGGTGAGCAATATTTCTGGAACTCATGAAAATATTTATTTATGACATTTGCAAGCGAGATCGTGCCCATCTGGAATTCCGATATCTATAGCCAGATCTTCTTTTCGGCTTCCTGAGCAACAGCTCGGCCTCCTTCAGTTCCTCATATTTATCAACGGGGTAATTCAGAACAAGAGAGCTTGCATGAAGCGCGGTACCCCATCCAATGGTGAAACCGCTACCGCCGTGGCCATAGTTATGCACCACCTGAAATGATTTCGTTACAGTATATTGATGCTCATGGAAGGAGAAACATATTGTCAGTCCTTCCGTCAATCGATCCATCTTAGCCAGTGTGCTTGGCCCTGGTTTTCTTTAAGGCTTAGCCCGAGATCAAAGTGATGCGTTACTACGCTTATGAGTGACAATGAAGATGTAAAGCGTAACGTCAGTAGTGAAAAAATGAGAAGAAGCCGTCGATAAATCCCTTCTGCAGTAGCGGCGAAGCGAAATAGGACCGAGTTGTGGGTGAGTCAGTTGTGTTGGGCGGGGCTAATAATACCACATGCCAGGATAATGGCGCCCTTCGGCCTGGTCGAAATTGAGCATTTATGTGCATGCTCTCGCTTGCCGGTCACTGCTTTTCCTAGGTAGACCGCCTGAATTGGACCAGAAATCCCGGCCTTAGCCATCAAAGCGTGTCACAAATTCGAACTTCCACCCCAAGTCGTGGTAAGATGCAAGAGCGTATTTGCTCTGTTTGAGAAATTACGGTGACTGGAGGTGCCGGTATACAAGCTGGTAATTCGTTCGTCCATGGTATGGCGTCTTTTAAACCAACGAGAAAATTACCCGGAGGAAGGCTTTGGCTAAACCAGTTGAAAGATTCAATCCGAAGACCACCAGGATGGTAGCAGTGCTTCCTTCACTGTCCTACCTTTACCGCCATATTCATACAAACAAATTATATTCACAGAGACACAAGTTCATAGCGTTGAATAACTGGCCTAGGATGCGCCATGCATCTTCGCCACCACTCAAAATTTCAAGGCATTTATATGCTTAGTGGGCTTACACGAATGTTCATTTGCTCACCAACCCCTGGCAGCCGCGCCTCCATTCTCTACACAAATGGCAGGCGTCATCAAACTAGAGGAAACGGCAATAGCGTGCCATGGCGTCGACGAACAATTCCAAAATATGCTGCACTTGTTGGTCGGTTACTTATCATTTGATAGAGTATTGGAGGTTTCTCCAAAATAGCCCGCAACTTAGCACACAAGCCTCGCCTTGCCCGACAGGCTAGCCACCTCGATTATTTGTTACTTTCTTCAGCTAGGATTCCAATTTCATAGGCCTACTGTCTTGCAGTCCTTTTCTTCATAACTTCAGATTAGGATCCTCCACGCGCCAAGCTATATGGAGCATTGGCCAGGAAATAGTTGAAGGCAAGCTCTCTCAATCCACGTTGCAGGGTTGGTTACCTTTACTCAGGTAACAAAATTAATCGAGGGGTAGCCTGTCGGACAAGGCGAGCTGGGTGCTAAGTGCGCGGCGGATTTGGAGCAACCTCAATAAAACCTCTCAAATGGGTTTCTTGCTTATTATACGAAGATACACACTCCAACCACCCCGTGACTGGCAATCTCGATGCTCTATCCGGCGCGATTGAAAAGGAATCTGAACAATGTGAGCGCCAATGTCAGAACGCTTTTGGTGTGGACAAGGTCAGAGTACTGAGACATTTCGATAAAGTCGCTAAGGTTTGAAAATATGGAGTTTGTCTCTCACATGCTCTGAGCCCGAATCAGCTCTGAACCCGATCTGACATCATCATGTTCCTATTGGTTTCCCATAGTTCCTTCGAATGACCATCCATCATACTCATCGGAATATGTGGACTGGGAGCAGTGTGTTAACAAATTCACAAGCCCCATGGGAACCGAACTAATATAAAAGCTACTGCATAGGTCTCAAAGAAATTTCAAGCAGAAAAAATTGCAAAAAAGTTCTTGATACCTTATAGGTTATGCCTTTTGGGGTTGTTCTTGTTTCAGATTCAACTCTCACCATAGCACGACCAGGACGAAGGCCGACAAAATGATCGAGGATCTTCACACCCTGAAGCAAGTGCATACAATACATAGGTTCAATATTTAGCAAAAATCTGAGAACAATACTTGCATACTTTGAAAGACGGTTGCAGCTGTAGATAGCGATCCCACAAATTGTTTATCTCCTCCTTTGTGATCTTCATGCTATCTTTACGATCTTCCTTTACCGTTCCAACATAAACTGCTCCAATTCTGGAAATTTTTCATCACTTTGCTTCATTCAGACAGCTGCGGGACAACACTTCATCAATGGGCAATGGTCGAAAATCCAAGAGAAGACAGCATCCATCCTGCCTATTTATATCCCTGCTCTGTCCAAAGGTCTGATGCAAGATTAATAAGGGACAAGTGGAACAATAAAGACAAAACGCACAATAAATTGACTGTTCATGAAAGGCTTGTAGTGAAAAGGTGTAGGACTGTTAAAGGAATCTTCCACGGAAAAAGCTCCGGATACCTTAAAGGAATCTTCCACGGAAAGAGTGATCATTTTGTCTTGTGTGTAGGATTAGTATTATCGAAACTAACGCTTATGTTCGCTTATGTTCCGTTCTTTTTGCTATGCTCATGAGGCTAGGGGCCTAAGGGGTATCGTTTTTCTGTGGTAATGGAGGCGGAGCTTTTTCCGCGGAAGATTCCTTTAAAGTAGAGGTGTTTCTTCAATCGGCGTGATAACTCGAACGCACCTCCAAAGCTCCTCCGCTTCTCAAGACACGCCACCGCCGACAAGGAATGGGTAATAATGCAAATGTTTTCAAAATGAAACCGTTACCGTGGACGTAAGATTTTCTTCTAGTAAATGCACCTGTTGCACCAGATAGCGAAAGGAATTATCTTCAACTCGGTCCTATTTGAAAACCGCCTCGATTCTGGTGCTCACCTAAGTGATTAAACCCTACGATGGACCTGCGAGATGAGCGCAGGTCCGTCCTCTCTCCAAGTCTTAGTCCTGGGGTAAGCAAACCAGCCCTTTTGACGGAGCTGCTGGACCTGGCTGCACCACATCGTCATCACTCTCCTACCGCAGCGACAGAGTTCAAGTAGTCCGTCGAGCCCGGGGACCCCATCCCTCCCCAAATCAGTAATAGGTCGGCAGCAGCGTTTCTACCTCCCAATCGAAGTCAGCAGCTATCACGACTGCGTAGGCATGACACGCTGATTATTTCAGCCGAAACGTCCCTCTATTTAGACAGCGTACAATTTTGTTAGCAGGAGGTAGACTAGTTCACTTGAATTCAAAGGGTGGAAACGATGTCGCCTCAGGGTCTTTCACCGTTTATGCTACCTTTTTTTCACCGATGCAACTTTCAGTACCCCTGCGATCGCAAATACAGTATCGCGATTGCTGCCTTCAAGGACCTAAGATCACACACTACGGACGTCATATGCGACTCGTGAAAACACTATGGTTTCATTAGTATTGTGTTCACATACAACACTTCTCAAGAGAGTGAAAGGAGTCTTCACACTGTGGTTCCTTTGGTGAAATAACCCACGTTGGTATGGTGAATGTGTTGGTGTTTCGCATCAGGAAGTGCTTCTGCCATGGAGCGTCAACTTTCAGAAGAATTCCTCGGATTGGATAAAGATCATCGTCATCACCAGCAAGACGAGCGCCATTCATTCCAGCACAGTTGACAACGGTGGAATAGCCTTCGTCAGCTAGCTGCAATGGAAGTTCTTAATTCTTTAGTTCTTAATCAGTTAACTTGAAGGTGTCACACTCCCAACAGGATTAATGGCAAGCCTCAGGGTGTTAAGGACGCTAAATAACGAAGGTGGGGAGGTGTGTGTGAGTAGGTGGAAAGTAATAAAGAAAGCAAAAGAAACTAATAAAGATACTAGATTTAAAGGTTCAATCTTGAGGGCAGGGTGTGGTACGATGAGAAATAGAGCGATCACAGAAGACAGGGCACATGAGAAAGCACACTTCACTACAGGGCAAAAGCACGCCTTACTAGAGGGCACAAACTAGCTGTAGTGGCTCTAAAACAACTACCGGTCGAGGCCGGTAGTCGGGAGCATTTGTGAGACCCTAGCGCTCCTATTGCACTCTTTTGAGTGGTGTCAGCGGCGCATTGGCGACATTCGCAAACAGCTGCCCTACCTACTGGAAGGATATACTCTCATGGTCTTATACCTCTGACCTTCCCCTCGAGCGCAGGTTTGCAGCTTGGAGGGGGGGTCCTGTATTGGACACCGTATGTCTCTGTAATACTCACAAAGGAGGCACAAGTCAGAAGAACATTGACTAAGTTGACGGTACCAATTCCACAGGAGTGCAGCACGTATTCGAGATTCAAATTTTATTTCGCTAAGTTTTAATCATAGTAGTGTCTTAAGCGGATTGACCATTGTTCAGGTGACCTTTTCATCACCTTTCCTCCAACATCCATAACAAACCTCAGCGCCTAGAGTATAGAAACAGAGACAGATAGCACTGTACGGTGTAATATTTCGAGGTGTACATAACTCGCATACTAGATTAATAATAGATTTCATTTTACTCCTTTCTCTCTCTTAGTTGTTTTCATATACGACTCTCCTGTTACGAAGGTGAGAAAAGCTCCATAGCTTTTCCCCCACCCGCGCAATTCCCACAGATCACGAGTCTGACTGGGGCTAACAGGAGGCGGATCTCAAACGCGTAGAAAATGACTTACTTCATCCAGGCTCTCAATTTTTCTTTCAACAAATTTGACGCCTCTGGCCAACAGTTCGCTCTTCATCCATGGGCAGTACCGTGCCCCTTCGGATGTGAAGGCAGTATAGTGGATGCCCGATGTCTTGCTGCAAACTCCAGTATTTTTCGGAATACTGTTCCCACTTACCTTGAATGTGCGATGGTGACATGAAGCACTTACTCTCCATCGTTCAGTACAAACTGCGAATTCAGTTCGCGTTCGTTCAAGAACCGGAAATTGTACACAATGTCACCATAAGCTCTTTCCTGAAAATCCAATGGTAAACGCCAAAGTGGAAGTGGTCTAAAAGAAGGTTCAAATGTAAAGATGTTTAGCTGCAGGCTCACAAGGCCATAAGAAGTCTGAAATGACCTGGTCGTGCAGCATGTCCAGGTTCTCGGAGAGAATGTGACCAGAAAGTAGCTGCACCCCACTGAAGCCACCAAGCGTTCTCCACAGTTGGGCAAGGTGAGTGAAGGTGTCGTTACCGTATACTCTAGAAATCGAATATAGCAGTATATAATAAATCACGCGTAAAGATCAATCACAAATATGGTAGGCCGTGCCGCCGATTGGGAATACATTAGTGGAGAAAGAGTCGGCAAGGGTCTGTTAAGAGAAAGGGGCCATTTTCGAAGAACTTGCTGTAGAAATGTGACGTGCATGTGATTTTGGATCAGAACCAAATGAGACGGAAGAGCCTCGGAACCAAAGAATGGGCAAAGAAACCAATTAAAGCCTGCCCTCACATCGTTCTGGGCGACGACTACTCTGAAAGGGTGTTGCGCCATGCACTTGCACGCGCTGGATGTTCTGTCAAGGGCGTTTTGAAGTCGTCTTTTAGTGTGAGGGCAGGCTTTAATTGGTTTGAACTGGGAGCCTGTAGTCGGACTCCAGCCACCGGTCAGGAGCCCCATCCGCAAAGGACTGATCCGGCTAACGAACTAGTGATGCGTAGCGTTTCTCCTCCTGGGGTCAGGTCACCTAAAATTGAGACGCCGTTCATTCGCTCGGAGCAAGCTTAGGACTAAGCCTAGGCCCAATCATAGGCTTAGGCATAAGCCAATGTGTAAGCATAAGCCTTAACCTAAGTCTAAACCCAAACTTAACCTTAAGCTTCAATGATCGCGCAACTGTGGTGACCTGACCCCAGGAGGAGAAACGCACGTCTCCCAACTTTCTTATGTAGAGTTCCAATCACGCAAATACGCATTTCTCTCACTTGGACACTCGGTCGTATTAGATGCAACTTCCTTCGCATATTAAGGGGGTGGGAATAGAATTTTTAAAGATTTCGAAAATCTTCCCGAAAATCAAAAAAAATCAGAAATTGACTATTTCACTGAATACTACTGAATAAACAGGAAC